AGGGCCTCACGTTTTCAACTAACAAGAAGTGAACAACAATCTACGCCTAAGACTTGGTCTTATGTTTTCAAATAACATGAAATGAGCAAAACTCTACGAATCACTCTTTGCCTCACATTTTAAACAGACATGAAGTGGCCAACACTTTACGCCTCAATCTTGGCCTCAAGTTTTCAACTGACATGGAGTGACCAACACCCAACGCCTCAATCTTAGCCTCACGTTTTCAAATGACATAAACTGACCAACACTCTAGTCCTTCTCGACCTCACGTTTTTGACTGACATGAAGTGACCAACAACCTACACCTTACTCTTGGCCTCCGATTTTAAACTAACATGAAGTGAGCAACACACTACGCCTCACTCTTGGCCTAACGTTTTCACCTGGCATGAAGTGACCAACATCCTACGCCTCACTCTTAGCCTCACGTTTTCAACTGACATGAAGTGAGCAACACACTACGCCTCACACTTAGCCTCACGTTTTCAACTGACATGAAGTGACCAACATCCTACGCCTCACTCTTAGCCTCACGTTTTCAACTGACATGAAGTGACCAACATCCTACGCCACACTCTTAGCCTCACGTTTTCAACTGACATGAAGTGAGCAACACACTACGCCTCACACTTAGCCTCACGTTTTCAACTGACATGAAGTGACCAACATCCTACGCCTCACTCTTAGCCTCACGTTTTCAACTGACATGAAGTGACCAACACACTACGCCTCACTCTTAGCCTCACGTTTTTCAACTGACATGAAGTGATCAACATCCTACGCCTCACTCTTAGCCTCACGTTTTCAACTGACATGAAGTGACCAACACACTACGCCTCACTCTTAGCCTCACGTTTTCAACTGACATGAAGTGACCAACATCCTACGCCTCACTCTTAGCCTCACGTTTTCAACTGACATGAAGTGAGCAACATCCTACGCCTCACTCTTAGCCTCACGCTTTCAACTGACGTGAAGTGACCAACATCCTACGCCTCACTCTTAGCCTCACGTTTTCAACTGACATGAAGTGAGCAACACACTACGCCTCACTCTTAGCCTCACGTTTTCAACTGACATGAAGTGACCAACATCCTATGCCTCACTCTTAGCCTCACGTTTTCAACTAACATGAAGTGAGCAACACACTACGCCTCACACTTGGCCTCACGTTTTCAACTGACATGAAGTGACCAACATCCTACGCCTCACTCTTAGCCTCACGTTTTCAACTGACATGAAGTGAGCAACACACTACGCCTCACTCTTAGCCTCACGTTTTTCAACTGACATGAAGTGACCAACATCCTACGCCTCACTCTTAGCCTCACGTTTTCAACTGACATGAAGTGAGCAACACACTACGCCTCACTTAGCCTCACGTTTTCACCTGACATGAAGTGACCAACATCCTACGCCTCACTCTTAGCCTCACGTTTTCAACTGACATGAAGTGAGCAACACACTACGTCTCACTCTTAGCCTCACGTTTTCAACTGACATGAAGTGACCAACACCTACGCCTCATCTTAGCCTCACGCTGACATGAAGTGAGCAACACACTACGCCTCTCACGTTTTCAACTGACATGAACATCCTACGCCTCAAGCCTCACACCTGACATGAAGTGACCAACACACTACGCCTCACTCTTAGCCTCACGTTTTCACCTGACATGAAGTGACCAACATCCTACGCCTCACTCTTAGCCTCACGTTTTCAACTGACATGAAGTGAGCAACACACTACGCCTCACTCTTAGCCTCACGTTTTCAACTGACATGAAGTGACCAACATCCTACGCCTCACTCTTAGCCTCACGTTTTCAACTGACATAAAGTGACCAACATCCTACGCCTCACTCTTAGCCTCACGTTTTCAACTGACATGAAGTGACCAACATCCTATGCTATCATCTCCAGTAACTTTCTCACTGACAGGACGCCGATTCTGTTGTGGCCTGTTAAGGGCCATACTCGGAAAGACGATAGGTTGAACAAGTGCATTGAAATAACAGACCATATATGCAAAATAAGTGTTATTAGTCAGCAGACAGAAGTGCCCGTCTGAACTATCAGGTTACACTGTGTTTCGACTGCAGATATTTAACAGTCCCCCCGACGTGTGGTGTATGTGGCCGAGTTTACCGTGGGTTCTCCGAGCCCGTTGGCTCCGCCAAAAATATCCCCACAGAACCAGCATAAACGGGTTTGGGTCTGTCTACCTTCCGGGACGAAACTTGGCCCTTCGGCAAAACCTCGCCCGGGTTCCTCTATGTCAAAGCAGACAGTTCGTCAGAAGTCGCACATAGTCAGAGACTGTGGGTCGACTGCCGATAATTAACAGTCCCCCCACGAGGAATGTATGTGGCACAAGGCCGAGTTTAACGTGGGTTTCTCCGAGCCCGTACTCTCGGCCAAAAATATTCCCTTAGAACCCGCATAAGCGGATTCGGGATCTGTCTACCTCCACATAGTCAGAGACTGCGGGTCGACTGCCTGCCTTAGGAAGTCTCGCAGGTTAGTATTTATGAAGGAGGAAGAATTCATTTTAATGTAGATAGGTCACTATAACAGATTCCCAGATACAAATATTTTCATGACAACTGCTTTAACAGTATTTTTACCTGGTACCCAACTACGTGATTTAAGTCTGGGGCACCTCGGCGTGGTGTAATGGTTAGCAAGCTTGTCTTGCTAGATCAGTTACTACTGAATAGTGAGTTCGATCCTCACTGGGTGCCCCATACTTTCGGCCTTGTGCCACATCTAAGCTACGCTTGGAAATTGATATTTGGGCACCTCGAGGCGGTGTAATGGTTAGCAAGCTTGTCTCGCTAGAACAGTTACCACTGAGTAGTGAGTTCGATTCTCACTGGGTGCCCCTACTTTCGGCCTTGTGCCACATCTGAGCTACGCTTGGAAAATCACTACGTGAATTTAAGCGTGCTACTAGACTGGCATCTAGGTCTTGCCGTTTTACTGTTGAACTAGATGCAACCGCCACATCTAATCCAATATTTTTTCTCACACATCTCACATGTGGAACTCCCTTTCGAGTTCTTGCTTCCCTGATAACTACAATCTTCAAAAATTTAAATGCAACGTCTGTCGCCATCTTTTGTCTTCTTGAACCATTTGAATGCGAACGTAAATTTAGAGTTTTTCTTCTCTTAGACAATTTTCCAACCACAGCTAGAGAGACCAGTGTACCTTTCTATTTGACTCAGAGATGAGTGGAGAAAAAATAAATCCATACCTTCCCACCAGTTCAGCTCTCTACAGCTAAGACCAGCCGTACGACGTAGACAGGGAGAGAATAATTTTTATTGGTAAGAAAGAAATTTAATTTGAACAGCTTCTTCTCAAGAGCTGTTGCTTTGTGGGACAAACCCCCAAAGGTATGCTTTCCCTATCACTACAGTCTTAACCTATTCAAGTCTACATATCCTCAACAGCAGCAATTCGTACCTCCCCCTTTTACCTTTACAAAGCAACATCATTCAGTAACGCTATACTTTCAGTGGTTTTTGCGTCCTGTAATAGGTATGAATAACTGATTAATTGATTTTTTACGGCTTATCAACCTTTTGAAAGTTATTTATAACCAGAAAATATTTTTAGATAGTAATAATTTTTTGAGATTATAATGACTTTTTGCTGATATAAGTACTAATAATTAACCCATAGATGGGGGAGAAAATGTGGATTCATACATTTCCTGAGGTAATTTGCACGCAAATGAATATAACAAACCCGACTGGAACTGGAAACCGGCTCTCCTATTAATTCCGAATCATTGTTTATTACACCACCCGCACATCAATGCTTACAGCAACTTATCATTTACTGGAACACATATGACATAAGGATAATAATAAATTGCACATCGGTCACATCTAGACACAGACTAAGCCCTACGTTGATTAACTTTGGTGAATTGTCATATGGCCGTTAGCCTACCTGTAATAGTTAAGAAAAGCTATTTGCGTAAAATAGTGTGCTCGGATGGAATTCGAACTCCATTCGTCGATTTTGCTTTCCAAACAGCTAATCCTTACACTACTTACTCACTTGGTCTTAATTGTCTTTTCTATTCAGGCAGTACCTTTAAAAATGCTGCTACCTTCATAGTCACCCTTGGCAGGAGGCAAGATACATAATCATTTTTTAGAAACATAATAACAAAATATTATTTAAAAGTTGTCGAGAGAAGTTGAGTGAACACAAACACGAACGAGAAAAGAAAAAAAACTGAATGAAAGAAAAAAGAAAATGGAAAACAGTGTTAAATCAATATTTTATCTCTTTTTCGTTTGTATCCGTTTCTTTTCGTCGTCCAAAACAACAAAGACCTTTGGAAACGGCACCATCTAAGTAAAGCTGACAAATGCTAGGCCAACTTCACTTTTAGCTTCAGAAACACACCATTATTCACCCGTGACCTTACCGATCTACGGATAATATTGTTGGATCTTTCAGGAATATGCCCGTGAGGAGACTATCGAAAAGGTTAAGTCCGTCGACGTTGCAGTTTGTCGAGAGCCAGAGGCACAGATTCCTCGTGGCATGAGATTTTTTTTTTTTTTATTGCTGATAACCAGAAAAATTTTTTTTATGAATATTGTTCTTTTCATTCTACATTCTGACAGGTCACTTTTTTTTTTTTTTTTATCATGCCTTCCTATGCAGCTTTGGAGTTCGACTTGCGGCAAATATATTTTACCATTAGCATTTATTGGAAGACGTATGACATGAGGAATCTTAAAATTATTCCATCTTGGGATTCTTATAACAGTTGAAAGCTTTATAGCTAAGACTCGCCATGTGAAGAACACAGGGTCGAATAACTCTCATAACCTTCGTATTTCGTTGGTAAGGAGATTTTGGATCGGGGATAAAATCAGTATTGACAGAAAGGATATCTCTTGAATCATCCGAATTATCCTCAACATAAGGAATATATTCAGCTTCCACATCTCTATGTCTTTGATTAAGTTGTCTGCTGGTTCCGTTCGTATCATGTTTCTCTCTGTCCCACATCATCGCCGTTTTCATGTCAATCCATGCAATTTTCATCTTCCTATCATCTCGCCTGTCAAGGAAGAACTGCACCTCACGTTTAAGAACTTATACCACAATTACAGGCCAGGTGATATCTGTTACACTTAACTTTGCACTTCACATCCTTACAGGAGACAGGGGGTCAGTAACAGCTACAGATATCAACCAACTCCTTCATTGCTTCCTGAAATATGGCTTCTCTGCCCACGTTCTAGTTCTTATTAACTTCAATTCCTCTACTGTACAATTTTCTCAACCATTCCTCAATATTTCTTTCGCTAAGAAGAAGAATACTCTGTCTATCTCCAATTGCTTTTCCCCATATTTCTGAACAATCCTGGGCGGCCATTTTGTTAATCATTGAGACAAGTGCAAACTTTCCTTCATTATATTTATATCACCAGCAGTTTTTTAACATCTCGCATTTCGAAGGAAGTTTGTCCAATGGAAAAAAAAACAAGCCAAACAATGTATGATATGTGGTTTTCCTCATTAATACAGTAACCATCCCAATAGCAAATCGATCAGTTAACTTGAAAATAATTGAGAAAGTGTGAATGAACAAAGTTGAATATAAACATTGTCCATTTGTACAATGCACATTATACTGCACCAACACAGCATGAGTAATTTTTACATTTCATTTGCAAATGATACTGACTAAACCTCGACCTATCAGCTTCAAATTTGGCATGGAATCTTAGATATGTATAATAACAATCCATAAAGAGTACAGCTTTGAGAAAAATTTCATTGTTCCCTAATATAATGATATGCAGTTTGCTATCCTGTGGGAACGGTAATGACATTACATCTCCTAAGCCATCATTTGAGAATTCTATTTTTTGTGGGTGGGAGGATGACTGCAAACGCATACTATTGGTTGACTGAATAAATTTTCGGCTTATTAATCTTTTGCAGGTTATTTAGCCATGAAATATTTTTGGAATGTAAGATTTAAAAAAAAAAATAATGCTTTACTGATACAATTTATTAGTATTTCATCCATAGCCGGGTGGAGTAGAAAGGGTGGATTATTACATTCAGGCTTTGCGCCAAAAAGATTTTCACCTCTTTAATTCCATGGACAACTTTCTTAGGACATCCTTTGCACTCATATTTGCGTTCAAGAGATCTGATTTTATCGCCAGGGTAAAGTTACAGGCATATCTGGAGGCATTTGGCAAAAACTTTCTGTAAGCCGATGAGAATCACTTTAAGGACTAACAATATGTCTGTATACTATTTTTTCTAATAAATAAAAAAAAGGCAAGGACATTTTTGGTTACCTTCTAGGAAGAAAATAAATGGTAAACCTTGGCGACAACCCAATATATAACAAGGAAAAATTTGTTCATTATACTTGGCCAAAATGTTTCGTGTACAACTGCGATATTATCCTGGAATAAACACAGCAATCAAATTTCACAGGAAGTCAGGTACAGCTGAACTGAACTAGTTTACTCCCGTCTACCGGATGCAGAAGTATTTATATCCGGGTATTGCAAGCATGATGACGAGAAGTTTTGACATATACAAAACAATCGCCTCAGAAATGGAGCAGTCTCTCCCGCATAATACAGAAATATAGGTTCCCTGTGTCGGACGGGTTTGTGGGATACGCCTTTCACAGACTACTCGAGGGTAAATGACAAAATATTGGAGTGAATAGAATAAGTAATAAAGATACAAGTCTTGTGTTATCTTTTAATTCGTATCCTAACTTCAATACACAAACCCATGTTTTTTTATCCTTAAATATTGGATTTTGAGAAGGTTTCAACATAAAAATATTCTTTTGTTCCTCAAGGCGTAGAGATGCGTGGGAAGTTGACATTTTTTTTTGGATATTCGGAAATATCTTTTATAGCAACAATTACCGCTTACAACCGTTTTTTTTTTTTTTAGTTTTAATATCCGGACAAGAAACACATTCGTGTGCTTTGGTAAAGAAATTTCACAGAACAACTTTTCTCCAAGCATATTTTCGATTGTACAGAGTATTTCTTCATGGGAAACTTTACACCAGTAATGGCTGTTACGCTGAATAACGAACCATTGCGCAATGGAATGTTGGCATGTTTTAGTATCTGTCTATATTTCTGAGATGAGGTATTATATACACTACTAGCAGTAGAGCCCAGCATTGCCCGGGGATGTAACAGTAAGAGATAGATCAAGTATCGACCATCATAAAGACTGAAAAATAAAATTGACAAAGATTATTGTTCAAGGTTGACGGACACGCATGTCTTAATTAGTTTTTTTTTTTTTTTTTTTACGAATTGGTCAAACCCAAACTCAAACAAAAAAATTGTTTTCAATCGTTATGAGTCTACCGATTGAATAGAATTTTATTATAAACAATTGTCTTATAAATGGAATTTTTAAAGCATTCTGAATGTAAAAATAAAGAAAAAAGTGTGCAAGACAATAAGAAACACTACCTGCCAAAAAAAAAAAGTGAAGTTTGAAATCGGTTGAAAAATGTAGGAAATCCGATCCTATATAAAACGAACACACACACACACACACACACACACACACACACACAAAAACACAAAAAGAACCTGGGTTTTATAAGTATAACTCGATATGAGTTTCACCCCTTTCATTCCGGCGACAGATACCTCTTAATCTTTTTTTCAAATTGATTTCGTGCAAAAACAATTGTGTTTTTCCAATTTTTGGCGCTGTCAGAACCACCGCAAGGTAATTTTACGTAGTCTTGTGAAGTTTTGTTGAAATCGGTTGAAAAATGTAGGAAATCCGATCCAATATATAAACGTATACACACACACACACACACACACACACACACACACACACAATCTGCGTCTTATAAGTAAGATTTACATTATTCGGACTCTTTGTCTTAATGTTTTCAGCAAGCATTTTTACCAGTGCTCATATTTCAATTTTCTCTGTTATCATTGCATTTTTTTTTACCAGAGCCCACATTGCTTATTATTGCTTTTCTCTGTGACTTCTTATTACTGGTTCCCATATTGTATTCATTTCTATGCTTGGTCGGCTCAGGAGATCCAGTGACAGGACCCAAAGAGTTGTGAGTTCAATACCTGGTTAAGGCAGTGGAAAACTTGGAGAGGTGAATTAACAGGAGGTAACTGATAATTGGCATCCATTAGATATGGCACGTGGTACTAGAACAGTCTACTGCAGCGAGCGAAATAAATGATTCAGTTCGACATTTCAGCCCCATGAAGAAGGCCGGAGCGTACATTGGCCGAAACGTTGTGATAAATATGACAACAAAGATGAGGACAATAGTCCGAATAATGTAAATAGTCACATGCTTCAGTTACCAATTTCATTTATTTCTTTTTTAATCTAAGCTACTTTATCTTTTTTCTTATTCTTTCACATTCAGTAGCCCCCTTGTGTCTTAGTGGCTTTATTGCCTTGTTTGGAGAGAAATGTTTAAAAATGAATAAACATGTATCAGATTTTATGTATTGAATCAGAAGTAATTTTCTTTAAAAGATTTGTATCTCGATAACGTATTAGTAAATACTTTTGAAAACATGATAAACATGGAATCATTGGGAGAGTTTTCTCAGTTATAAACTTTTACTGTCAGATACATCTACTTCTCCTCCTTTACAACGAGTTAATTTAGTGCTGTGGCGTCCTCACTCTAAAGAGTCTATGTTGGACACTTCCGCCTACTATAAGGTTAGTAGGAGAGAAGGTCTTGGGGAACAGTCGAATAGATTGTTCATCTGTGAACTCTTTGCCTCGAGCAGAGAGGAACCCGGTCGAAGCTTTGCCGAAGGGCAAAGTTTCGTCCGGGGAGGTAGACAGGCCCTGAACCCGTTTATACGGGTTGTCCAAAGGAATATTTTTGGCCGAGACTACGGGCTCGGAGAACCCACGATAAAACCGGCCTTGTGCCACATACGACCCACGTGGAGGGGGGACGTTAAATATAACAGTGATATAGACTGTTCAACTGTCAAACTCTCTGCCTCGGACGAGGCTTTGCCGCAGGGCAAAGTTTCATCCGGGGCGGTAGACAGTCCCTAAACCCGTTTGGCGGGTTCAAATGGAATATTTTTGGCCGAGCCTACGGGATCGGAATACCCACAATAAACCGGCCTTGTGCCACATACGACCCACGTGAGGGGGTCGTTAAATATAACAGTGATATAGACTGTTCTACTGAGGCTGTTCGCAGCTCCTGTCAAACTCTCTGCTTTTGCCAGAGAGGAACCCAGAGGAGGCTGTGCCGAAGGGCAGAGTTTTTCTCCAGGGAGGTAGACAGACCCGAACCCGTTTATGCGGGTTCTACGGGGATATTTTTGGCCGAGCCTACGGGTTCGGATGACCCACGTTAAACTCTGCCTTGTGCCACATATATCCCTCGTGAGGGGGGCTGTTAAATATAACAGTGATATAGACTGAACGCCAGTCAACTGACACACACTCCCAAGTCGTGTAACACACTCCTGTTGTATTTACTGTTCAATGTACTATTTATCTGCCACCTCTTTTTATTTATTAACGAATTACTTGGTCCCAACATTTAGTAACCATCACCCTTATGTGGCCCTTAGTACTTGTATCAGTGAAAGTAACAGTAAAACAATGCATAACAATTTATAGATAATAAAGGAACTATGGAGACTCATGATCGACAACTGAAGTGATATGGTATTTTTAATACTAGATTTTGTTTAATTTCTTAAAAAACGATAAAATATCATACGGACAGTAAACATATTTATATTTGATGAAAGATAACTCTCTGGAGAAATAAATCAATTGCAATATTATTTTAAAGTCCCATATTAAAAATAATATTTCTGTTCTGAATAAGAAAAAAAATCTGTAATAAAACCAAAATATTCCTTTTATGGGACTCAAGGGGTGGATAAGCTTTTAGCCACCATTTAAATAATATGTACTATAGACCTGTTGTTCTTTTCCCTTGTTTCTTTCATTGTGTGCCTTTTATCCGACATTTGCTTGAGCTGGTGCACCCGACATAAGAATTGCGAAGATAAATGGAATAGAATTAATGCAACCGAAATGATGTCACGTGTTACTTCACCGGGAGTACGCTCCAGCGGAAAATATCCAACCAAGTTGCTATCTCCGCACTGTACCATCAAAGTTGTCAAACTTTGGCTTACAGTAGAAGTTGGGGGTACCTAGGTAATGTCATAAAATCTACTATCTGTTTTTCTTTAAAAGAAATCATGCCACTAATTATACTTCATCCATTTTTTTCAATTTTAATACATTTGCCGTGCGATTAGGGGATGAAGCAGATATTTGTAGACATTGTACCTGAAAAAGAAACATGGT